TCCAAACCCCCTTCCTTCCCTCCCTCCGGGTGCCCGGGGCCTTTTTTTTTTGTTCAGGGTTTTTCCCCCCTTTTTAACAACCCTTAATTAAGGAATTGGTTTTTGGGGGCCCTTTTTTTTTTGACAACAGGCCCCCCAAGTTTTTCAACCCCCGGGGATGGGGGTTTACCCTTACCGCCGTTTTTTCCTTAAACCCCCCCCCCCCCCCCCCCGCGCCTATCGTCCCCCCCCGGTGTTTGCAATCGGGGTTGGGGTTTTCGTCGCTTGACAACGACGTTGTAAAACAAGCCGTCCCCCCCGGTGTTTCGCCATCGGGGTTGGGTTTTCGTCGCTTGGCAGCGATGTTGTAAAACAAGCCGATCACTTCGTGAGCTCGGCAACCAGGTTACCGCTTTTTTTTTTGCCTTTGTTTTTTTTTGCGGTAACCATGAATAGTGGTCGAGTAGATTATGTTGTGCGGGGTCGGGAACCCTCACTCCGCGCAAAGGGGATGATCGCACCACGTTGTGTTAAATTGGTCAAGCATCCTCGAGGCAGTTACACAGTGCTTATAACTGTCTCTGGAAGTGAAAGCACCAGAAAATAAATTAAGTCATACGCAGCTGTCATCCGTACGCAAGGAAGTAAGCACAAGATGCCGAACACCCTTAGCAGGATGGAGCGCACCGTTCATGCGACTCGCCGAATACCTCACGGCGCTTCGTGCTTGGTGATGTGAGAGCCTGGTCCGGTGAAAACCCGGCGTGCTCCGTCCCGGCTTTGTAGGGATGCGAGGTTAATGGTCTAACTACTACGGCATGCACGACTATGACTATGGGTACCCCCCCCCCCCCCCCCCCGTGCGCCTATCGCTGTTCTCGAAACCACCCTATCATACCAACGACGACCGCAGGGGATGGGCTTCCTCTACGTGGCGTCGGGCCCCATGGTGCGCTCCAGCTACAAGGCCGGCGAGTTCTTCCTCAAGACGGTCATCGAGCAGCGGAGGGCTGGGGGAAAGAATGCCGCTAGCGCCAACACTGCTAGCGTCGGCGAGGGCGCAGAAACAGCACATCGTCGGAGCCGAGAGTCGGAGGTTGACGGTGTGGTTTTGTCGGCGTCCTCCGCGTAATAGTTGTGCGTTTTTTACGCGAGGGGCTCCTCTTCCGATTTGCTTGGGGTGTCAGGGAGAGGTACCGGGGTTCTAGGTGACAAAACAGCAGTATCTGTGGACATATTATTGTGGCGTTGACCGTTTTTGTGCGTATAAAGGAGGAACAGTCTCTACACCATTGAAAAGGCCGACATGTGAGACTCGACAGAAAAATACAGCAACACTCGTGTTGTAGGCATTTCTCTGTTCGAAGAAGTAAATCACATGGGACAGCAAGGGTGTTTATTGTCAGTGAAGCTTCGTGGTTGTGCATGGTGCACGAAACAGGCAACTTTCCCAAGTCTGCCGCCCCGCCGCCATCGAAAAAACCCGCGATGGATGTATGTACAAGTCCGTCTGTTTGTGTTTTTTTTTTTCGTGTGTTTGTGTGTGTTTTCCTCGCATTTCGGTGTTCGTTCGTGCTCACCGCTCTTTGCTTCCACGAGGGGAAAGTTCACGTGAAAAAGACCGGTGCTGCTGCAAGCTTGCCTGCCAGTTAGTTGCTGTTGGTGGTTTTCTAAACATTGCTGTCTTGTCCGTCCCCGCTTGTGGTGGGCAACGAACATCGTTTTGATTTCTTCTTTGTTGGTTTGTTCCTGATGGGCTTTGCCCCCGACAAGTTGATTGTTTTGTCGTATGTCCCATAGGACAAACCGTTTCGGATGCCGTCGCAGAGAAGAAGACAACAAGCCTGTTGAGGTTGTGTGGGCCGTGGCTGTACCGGCGAAGAAGAGGGCCACGTCCGGTGGTCTCGAGTCGGTCTCAGCTCATGTTGATGGTGTTGTGTCCTCGGCGAAGTTTTTGAGCTCGCGCTGTACGGAAACGAAATACAGTAGGAGTTAGGACAAGATCGGAGACTTTGATGCTGTTCCAATCCGACTAGGATTGGTTTCTGCTCCGATTACGAAAGAACGTAAGATATTTTTTGTCCTGTACGACAAGATCGGAGACTTTGATGCTGTTCCAATCCGACTAGGATTGTTTTCTGCTCCGATTACGAAAGAACGTAAGATATTTTTTGTCCTGAATTTTCATGAATCTCGGTCAAGCTGAGTAGGCGCGTCGTAGATATCACACCCAGGCGTTGGACCGCCAACCCCTTCGAGAGGTGGTCAGCATCAGACAACTATGAATGATTTGAACGATGTTAAGTGCTCTTGGGGTCAAGCGCGCTCGATCACACCCCCCAAGATTATCGCTCCACTGTTCTTTGGACGGAGTAACTCCGCCACCGCCGGCGCATGCTACCGCACGGACCAAAAACAGATTCGCTGCCGGCCGCGTCCACTGTTGTCAAAAGAGAGTAGGGCACAAGGTACACAAAAGATGCACATAAACGATCCCTCACCCACTTGCTTGCACCCCTTTGGCCTCATGACCATGGAGCATAGGGCTTCGGAACCCCCACCGTGAGATGAAAGAAACAAGATTGCAACTACACCACAGATAGATTCGGACACGCAGCCATTCCTCCCGGTGTTTGTTTCGAATCGGCTTCGGACGGACGGGGTGGTCGTGATGCTTTGAATATCACCGCAGAGCGTCGATTTCCGAGCTCGGGTTGCGGTGAGCATCGATCGTTTTTCCTTCTTCGCTTTGAATTCTGCGCTCATCTCTGCTCCAGAAAAGTGCGAATGTCCTCCGTGGTTGATCCGTGGCACGGACGACTTGGGGCGGTCTTACAGATTCGAGGTGCATCATCGGAGTAGTTCCAAACGCTTTCCTAAAGCCCTTCGAGGGTTTATGGAAAAAAGGGAACAAGGCTTCAGGTAAGGCCGGCGTTACCCCCAGAAGTAATGTATTTCTTGTCAGTGAAAAAACCCCGGCATCTTGTCAAACACGGACAAGAACACGCAAAAAGATGATGACCCTCGCTCTCCCACGGTTGTTTGTTTGGGTGGACCGTTGTTACGGCAGAGAGCGCGTCACAAGGGGTATCCGACCGAAACTCCAGAAATGGTGCAAGCAAGCCCGGTCGTTGCTCTCACACTCAAACACGAAACCTCCATACAGGTACTGCCGAGAAGAAAAAAAGCTATATTGCAGTAGTAGCTCCTCACCCCCAGGAACATGAACAACGTCGTATGCTTCCCTCCTCCTACCCCCCCTCCCTAATCGAGGATACATTTAAATGTTGTGTTTTTTCAATTATTTCTTCGTTTCGGGTAGGGCATATAGCGGTGTTGATGAATACGGCGTGTTTTCCTTATTTTTTCTGTTTCCGATGCCCATATTGTGCTTGTGATGCGGGAGTGGTTGGTACCCCTCGTAATGTCCCAACCTATTCTGGTAGACACTCGCACAAGCGATTCCGCTGCTCGCACGGAACATGTGGCTAAGCATTTACCTAGGTTTCTATCTCGACGTTTCACTTTGACCTAACGCCTCCCCTGCTAAATTTTACCGGTAGGTTGTTCGGTGTGTGAGTGTGTGTGTGTGTGTGTTTTTTCAGTTTTGGGGATGATGCAGTACGGGGAGGTTTACTTCGGCCCACGAGCCCCCGGACCTGCAGCCGCCACGGCCCCAGCTCGACGACAAAACGATCAACATCGGCTGCGATGGCTCTCGCTTCTACAGGAAAGGTGCAGTTGCGTTGTCCGCCGTTTCCAAACCCTGTAGCTCATACTGTTATCCGCGCTGGGGGGCTTGCATTGCCCGCCCCCCCCCCTCCCCGACGGAACACGACGGTACCGCATGATCAAAACCACCAACGCTAACTCTTAACCCTAGTCGCCTTCCTCCCCACAAGACCAAAACAAAGAAGGTACGCTGCTGCTGCTGCTGCTGCTGCTGCTGTTGCCGCGCCGTCACCAGTGCTATTCATCCCGCACAAAAAATAACAAAATTGTAGCACTGCTGTGTGCCAACAACAATACGCTATGGCGGGCTTGACCTATCGCCCCCGCCGCTTTCGTTGTCAGTACCACCGCTGCTACCGTCGCGGTCTTCGGCGGTCGACTCCTCCGCAGCCCAAGCGCGCTGTGCCTGCCACAGCCCGAAGTACCTGCCACCTGTATCTGCCATGAGCTGTTGCGCCACGGCACAGTACACGAAACACAAACGAGAAATGCGACGGGAGCGAAAAAGAAAACCAAGCAATCAGTATTGTAGCTGCGTCTAGAAATTGTGAGCCGTGGTATACCAAGTCTAAGCGACGTTAACGAGATAGAGCATGAGCGCGGGATTTGCGTTGACAAGAGAGAAGGACGATTTGCACAAAACCGCTTTGGAATGAAAATGGCCACCTCACAACCACACCCATGACCAAATCATCTCGCAGGCCACAAAAGCCCCCCGCGTCGATTCACAACCATCGCGCCACAACACCCAACAACCATCGATCACATCGAACCCGCCACCACACATCACAACATCACGCCCCAAAAACCACACACAGAAAAAAGTCGTGACACACGCCACCACACAGCGCCCCGTCCCATGACCCGGTCATCACCTCTCACACGCATCATCGACACGACACACAACAACAATCGCGTCTTCTGCTGTAGATATGCATACCTCGGCGTGGTTCCCCTCCTCCACCACCTTCCCTTGGTCCAGCACGATGATCTTGTCCGCGTCCTTCACGGTCGACAGCCGGTGCGCGATGATGATGCTCGTGCGGTTGCGGCCCAGAGTCTTGAGGTGGCCCATGATTTCCGTCTCCGTCTGTCGTGGTTTCGGTACAGCGCAAACCCCATCGGATATGAAATCAATATGGGAGGGGGGGGGGGGGTCAGTGAGGGGGACGAGCAAGTGAGCGCTACGCGAGAGCCCTCAGTTGTTAGGTAGACACTTGCGCCTTTCCATCGTCTTCTGATTCCCAAATGTACGCAACACCCCACACCCCTGCACACCTTGGGGGGAAAGAAAAAGGCCCCACGGGGCATCCGGGGGGGGGGGGGGGGGGGGGG